TCAGCTCAGATCCGGATCCGAAGCTGAATCGTGAAGAATCGAGAAAGAAAAAAAAAGATCCGAAGAGCTGGACTGGTAAACCTAAACAGCTCCCAGTGAATTATTCGAGTAGATGATTCGAATCCGGAGCTGAGCTGATGAGCTGGAGAGCTGCATTTCGCTTTTCGGTTATTTGCTTTTGTGCGGATCTTCCGCTCCCCCAGAGAATGATGGGAGGAGAGGTGAGAGCACATATGCTAGAGGAATAACATCAGCAATAAGAGCCGGGTACATACATAAAATGAATAATACCAGTAGAAAATTAACATCGTATAGCACATGTGCATATGCAGGGATGCCATTCTCCCCAGAGTAAGCAGGGTGATGAGTTGAAAAGACACCTCGCACTATGACAAAAGCAAACTCACCCGAGAGATCTTTATTTTGTTTTCAGTTTCTATCGCTTCTCCCACTTCGCAAACAAATACAGTTTCTGACCTCGCAGCTCCACCAGTCCAACACACCGGAGCGTATGAGTGATCACTAGGGAGCACCGTAGAGAGTTCTCCCCGGTGAAGACTTTGGTTGTTAGTTTGTTGCTAAGAAGAAGAGGAGACAACTGACTTCTTACTCTTTTATCTCTATTTCTATCTTACGCATTTCAAATCGGCCAATCACGAGCTGGTTCGCGTTTGACAGAAAAGTGATTCGTTTTCGACCCCGTATTGCCATATCTTCCTCTTAGGTTTATTGCATACAAAGATTTTTGAAAGGTTACTTTTTCTATTAACGTACAGTAGTCAATTATTTTAAAATTTGGTGTACACATTTTGGAAATGCGAATACGGGAATTTGCTTCAGTTTAGTCGACAGACAGACATGAGGCAGAGATCGATAAGGATCACAGTGGAAGTTCCACAAGGCTCCATCCTTGGTTCATCGCTCTGGACCGGGATGTACAACGGCGTGCTAAAGGAGTTGAGATCGTTGGCTTTGCGGACGACATCGTCTTGACGGTAACAGGCGAGACGCTGAAAGAAGTGGAAGTGCTGGCGACCGAGGCGATCGACATGATTGGTAACTGGATGTAAGGAGCGAAGCTGCAGATAGTTCATCATAAAACGGAAGTTCTATTGGACAGTAATTGTAAAGCGGTACAGCGGGAAGATATCACCGTCCGGGGCATGCCGTAACCTCAAAGTGGAAGACAGCGAGTGCTACAGGCGGAGGGAAGCCGGAAGAGTACGGAAAGTTGTGTGAGCGGAGTCGTTGGCTAAGTGGCAACAGGAGTGGAACACGGCAGAGAACGGTAGATGAACACGTAGACTAAAAAAGAGATGAACCAGCCTCTGGCTGAAAGTCTCGCTATTAAAGATAACCTCACCTAACCACGTAGCTAATACAGATTTTTTTCGACCTGGGTGAACAGAAATCACGGAGACATCAAATTCCACCTAACGTAGCTCTTGACTGGCCGCGGCTGCTTCAGGAAGTATCTGCATTGGTTCGGACCCGCAGAGTCACCCCTCTGTTCGGAGTGTGGCAACGTGGATGAAACGCCGGAGCATGTGGTCTTCGACTGTCCAAGGTTCGAGGCAGTTTTGTGAAGGGAGATGCCCGTCCTTAACGTGGAGAATGTCGTCGATGAAATGTGTCGAGAGGAAGGCACTTGGAATGCCGTCAGCAGCTGCAGCGAAAATGGAGAGAAGAGCAGTGATCTAGCCACACCAGAACACCCGATGAATATTGACGAGATGCCGCGTCAAGTTGAATACCGTGACCACTTTTAATGTTTTTTTTTCATTTGCCCTGCAAAGCACAACATTCACAACCTCCTTTTCCGTACCGTCCTCAAACCGCACTAAACTCTGCAACAGAAAGGCTTTCGGTGAAATGGCATTTGGCCAAATTTTCCATAGCAAATTTTTTTTTTCGCCCCTCTCTAGCTCAAAACCTGGCTACGCTCTTGTCTTTGTATACGTTTTTCAGCCATTTAATTGATGTTTTCACTCACTCACGTCAAGCTCTGCCGGAATCTTTGGAGAAACAATAACGCATTTGCGCTGCTATCTTTCTCACGGAAGTGAGTGTATAAACAGACAAAAAGTGAACTGTCAACATTCTCACTCTCTCGTGCTGTGCCTAAAAATCTCTCCAGTGGTGCCAGGAAAAATCTCCGAGGAGACAAGCAGAGATTCACCCCAGAGAATGATATCTCTTGCACCCGGGTGATTCTCCCCAGATAATTTTCAACTCTGTGCATATGTATCTCTCTCTCCCAAACAGCCGCTTGGAAGTTTTCTTTTACCATTGGTGATGTCGATCAGTAGGCACATGGTGAATTACGCGCGCGTTTTGGTTTACGCGGTGACTGAATTGAATTGTTTAGACTTATAATATCAGTGAGCTGATGAGCTGCGGTTCCTAAAAATGAACCGCGGATCATCAGCTCACTTTAGAGAATCGGGTCTATAGAACAGCTCGGGAGCGGATCACCCATCTCTATCTCATGCTCAGGCCAACGACAAGGTCTATACCAACAGCAGCGTTTGACAGTAGGCAGCATCTCGAGGGCTCAAATTGTTTATTTTGCTGTGCTGGGCCCGTTGTCACGGTATAACATGTTGCCTACGTTGAAATTTTCGCTCCACAGTGCTCAAACGGGTCCAAATTGGGCCCTGATTAGTCTCCCAAAACTTGAACTCATTTAGTGAGAAACTGACTTGGCACAAACCATTTGAAGTTTATATGGAAATTACTATGGGAAAACAAAACTTTTTGTTTATTGTCTTCTAGCGTTTTTACGTATCGTACTGTTAACAAATTCTACTGCTATTCTAATGGGAATTTTTATCAGCTACAACTTTGCAGAAAATCGGTTTTCAGCCAAACGTCAGTTTAAATAGTTATTAATTGTTTAAGAGATTGATAATCTTATGGCAAGATTAAGCAACTGTATTGTGGGCAACACTGTATTCTGCAGTGTGACATAGTAGCCATGATTTTTGTCCTCTATTCTACGCGCCATAAACACCAATGTTGCCTGCTGAACAGTTGATTGAGTATAACCATAAAACATCAGTGACTTGAATCATTAATAATTTGTGTTCCTTACATTTGATCGAAAATTGGTCTTCAACAAAGTTGTTGCTGATAAAATTTTCAACATGCTCAGTTATCATATTTTAACGTAGAGAGAACTGGTAAATTTTGAGATAGATATGAACCGAAATTATGGTTTCTCCATAGTAATTCCTATATAAACTTCAAATGGTTTGTGCCAAGACAGTTTCTCAAATTTTGGGAGGCTAATCAGTGCCCAGTTTGCAACTGTTTGAGCACTGTGGAGCGAAAATTTCAAATTTTGCATCAGTCTATTGCTCATGCTCTACCGTCGTCTCTCTTACACAACACAAACGGTAGAACAACATTCGAGCAAAAAGAAAACTATCAAATAACTATCATATGACATGTGTGATTTTGTTCTGATTCCTCGATTTGGTGTAAATTAAACCATTTCTGATCAGAAATGTTATTACTAGGACATCGTTGCTTGCTATTTTCAGAATTCACACAAGCACAACATCAGCAGCTCTTACTATGAGAAAAACTAAAATACAAACATTCGTGACGGTCTTCGACGATAGTGTCGTATGATATAGCCTGTCATATGACATTTTAGTTTGATGCTGTAATTTGATAGCTTTTTTTGCAAGTGTCGGAAGCAAAGGCAGTCGATTATCAAAACAAATGTGACCGCTTACAAGACTGGTCAAACTTACATTCCCCGGTTGGGTTGGGTGTATTCATTTAAGATTTATGGTTGATAAAGTCCCCAACCCAAATAACTAATAAGCCCGTAAATTAATAAAACCTAATATACGGCTTCCGAACTTTATATTTTGCCTTACATGGGGAAAAAAGTGGGCAAATAGTGGGTTGATTGCTTCCTTGAGTGATGCATCATTTGAAAACTGCTAACAGCTTCAAACTAATGAAAAATAATTTAATTCAATATATGATCATGCATGCAATCATTCATCCTTACGATTCATCGACATCTCATCCGAAGCGTTCCACAAGGCCAAAACGGAAGACGATAATAATTGTAGAGTGCGTCTTTTTAATTAATGCCATTAAGCTGTGATAAATTCCCTGGAACGTTTCGCCATGCCCCCACCTGGACCTGTAATAATCGGTATCACAGTCACAGTAGCAGATCGCATCGAACCAACAAAATGCCTGCTTACAATTCAGTTTCTGCCGACCACTGGTGAACTGGTACCGTCGGCAAAGCCACCTAATTTAGATCAACCTTGATCTCCAGCCTTTAGCAGGTACGGGCACTGCTACGCGATCAATGAACTTTACCGATGGTGCGCGCTTTCGAATTTTTTTCGCTTCTACATAGTACCCACTTCTTACTGGAACTAAAATTTTAAAACGCCCGGTTTTGGTTGATGGATTTCTCCGAATTTATCCTTTTAAGGTGATCGACTGTCCCATCCTCGCCAACGTAAAAAAAAGCAAACAACGCAGACGACGTTGCCCGTCTGTCATGGAACCCCATAGCGTTCGGAAATTTCTGATACATAGTTCAAAAATAGAACCCCCCAAAGTCCATTATTTACGGCACCGTGAGTCAACTCCGGCGCAACCTCCGTCCCAGGTGGTGGTTTGTTTGTTTTTTGCCACTGGTAGAAGATGGAAACAAAAGAAATGAAAAAAAACGTCATGGTCATCATTTTGGAAACCTTCTCACTCGGGTTTCACCCAACGAACGGGGTGCCCAAAAAAAAAAGAAAGTGTTTATTGTTGCAATTACCGATCTGATCGATCTGCTATGCTGCAGCCCCCAGGCGGCAGCGATCGTCGATCCCAAATTTCGTCGCATCACCACTCGATTTTTTTTGACAGTGCTGTCTACGGGGGTTGTCTGTGTGACTGCTATCCTCAAACACCAATGCAATTCAACATGTGGCTAAACTTGTTTTCTTTTTCTTCCATGTATCTTCTTCCAGACTGCACGAGGAGATTGAGCAATTTTACGCCCACATGGTACCGACACAGACGGAGCATGCGCTAAGGGTACAGGTGGTCGCCCGGATAGAGGCCATCGTGTTGAATCTCTGGCCAGCGGCCCGGGTGGAGATGTTCGGATCGTTCCGCACCGGGCTGTACCTACCTACAAGTGATATTGGTAAGTGTTTAAAATTGTTCACCTATCGGAATATATATCGCCTAACTCACGCCTAACTCTCCGTAGATCTGGTCGTCATTGGCCTCTGGGAGAAGCTCCCGCTGCGAACGCTGGAAAACGAACTGATCAACCGTGGCATTGCCGAACCGATGTCGGTACGCGTCCTGGACAAGGCGTCCGTCCCGATCGTGAAGCTGACGGACCGGGAAACCCAGGTCAAGGTGGACATCTCCTTCAACATGCAGTCCGGCGTGCAGTCGGCTGAGTTGATCAAGGATTTCAAACGCAAGTACCCGGTGCTGGCCAAGCTGGTTCTGGTGCTGAAGCAGTTTCTGCTGCAGCGGGACCTGAACGAGGTGTTCACCGGTGGCATTTCGTCCTACTCGCTGATACTGATGTGTATCAGCTTCCTGCAGCTGCACCCGCGGGCCAACCAGAACCAGACGACCAATCTGGGGGTGCTGCTGCTGGAGTTTCTCGAACTGTACGGTAGAAAGTTCAACTACATGAAGACTGGTAAGTGGGTGTGTGTGTGTATGATGGAAAGGGTTGTGGGTCATTGAGCCTGTAGTATTTCTTGATGAATTTAGGAACTTGACAGATTCACGTGAGATGTGGTCGTTAGGTGGGGCAACTATGCAACTCCCTGTTCCCCATTTATCGTTCGATATGTATTGAGTTACTCAACAACTGTGCGAAATTTGAACTGATTTGCTTGTCAATAATTGTCACATTGCTCAAACTTGCCCTCACCTGAGACGTAAGATTGGGAAAACTAGTGCTCCGCGCATACCTACAAGCTTATACAGTGTATAGCAAAGTTGAGCGTACACCTGAAAGGACATTTTTTGAAACAATATGAATAGATAGATTCAGGGTGTCTACTAGTTGGAAATACTTGGCTACGAAAAGATAACGGCGTGTCAGGCCCTTGGAATGGATAGATTTTTGAAATCTTGGCTGGTGATTGAACAACTATTTATTGATTTATCGGTATAGTTTTGAACTTTATCGGCAGAGCCTATGTACAGGGCTGGTAGTGCTGATTCGATATAGTAGTAGTGACTTTAGTTAGTAAAATTACGGAAATAGTTACTTTAAAATAGTATACTGTATATACGCCTGTAGGTATGCACGGTGCAAGGCGGATAATCAAAGGTTCATGAGTTCCATAGAGTAATTGAAACTACCTTAAAGTTCTCTAATCTTCACTGACGTTTCCGAAATTTTCCTATACGGCGAATGAGAACGACCCAAATTTGAGTTTAGTTCACTCATAATCGCCAAAAGTGCAGGAACTCAGCGATGAGTAAATTTGTCTCATGGTTTCCTGTAAAAAATGAGGAAATTGACGAAAATTTTATTCAGTCTCGGAGTAGTACCAATAGACTGAGTGAATCCAATCTTTATTTTTCTCAAATTCGGGAATTTTTCCCTGGAAAATCCTGGAAAAACATGAGGCAAATTTACTCATCGCTGAGTTCCTGCACTTTTGGCGATTATAAGTGTAGTACTTCGGACCCGTATTAGAATAAATTACGATAATTAGCCTTATCAAACTTCAGCTTTAATAATAATCTTCAGACCGACGTGTACTCTCTCTTTGATAGCCATTCACTCTCTGTCTTCTTTACCTCCTGTCGCTACCATCCACCGTTACCATAACGAGGGGCTAGCAGATTCACTCCACTACCACATCTCCCTTTCTGTTGTAGACCGGAAGTATCACCTCACAACGTAAAGTCTCTGAATGCATCTGGTAATCCTGGATATTTGCGTCGATGCTTCCGAGCTTCAGCATCAGCAATATTTTGATCGTGGGATCCGTCAGGCGGTTGTGGCACGTCGATATTTCTACCAACCTGCTTTAGATGAGATGAGTTTCTTAGGTATGTTTTACCTGATGTGTTGTCCTCCACTGTCACACGAGGTCCATTCTTCGCAACCACAGTGTACTCGGTTGCTGCGAAGTTCGGTGTAAGTTTTTTACCTGGTAACAAGTTTTTCATCAAAACTGTATCACCAGGCTTCAGAGTTGATTGTTTTGCGTTACGGCAAGCATCTGCTGTCTGTCTTCCTCTTTCCTTTAGAACACGGTCTCTGTCAGACACTTCCAAAGAACGCGGACAATGTCGAAGATCTGAAAGAGATGGAATTTTTGATCGTATTGTTCGGCCACAAACCAACTCAGTAGGGAATGTGGGGTGGTGTAATACATCATTAAATAATCTTGAAGGTCGGCTTTCCAATCTCTTTTCAGTCCATGACTGATCTGAAGCCTTTTCAGCAAGGAACGATTTTGTCGTTCCACCAAGCCGATAAGGTGTTGTGAAGTTGAGAGTGATCCCGCGTGCTTTACAATATTGGTCGAACTCATCAGAAGCAAATTGACGCGCGTTGTCGAGTGTTATTGTAACTGGATATCCTAAACGTGTGAAGATTCGGTTGAGTTTAGTTATGGTATCCTTTGCTGTGATTCGGGTCATGATCTCAACTTCTTTATATCTGCTGTTACAGTAGTAGTCTATAATAACGAGCAAATATTCCCCTGTGGGCATCGGTCCTAGGAAGTCGATCGCCACATCTATCCACGGGTCTGTAGGAATTTGGCGTCGTTGCATGGGCTCAGGTCTTTCAGGCAAACTGACGAGACGACATCCTTCGCACCTCTGAACATATTGGACGACTTCCTTATCGACACTTGGCCACCACACACGTTCTCTTAACCTTTTTTTCATAACTGTTTCCCCAGGATGGCCTTCGTGAGCCAGATCGAGCATTCTTTCACGCAACTTCTGAGGTACAACAAGTTTAGTTCCCCTGACGAGAACATCACCTACAAATCCCAACTCATGTTTAAACGCTTCATACGGCTTGACATCCGTTTGCTTCCATATATCTGTTTGCAGGCAATCCCGCAGTAACCCAAACGCGTAATCGTTGCGTGACGCATCTTCAATCTCGTTAGTGTCAATCGCTGCTGATCCAACAATCGTCAACACTAGGAAATTGCTGTCTCCATCAAATTCTTCGTTTCCAACATTTTGTACCAATCGAGTAAAAGGGTCTGCGATATTGCTGGAGCCCTTCCTATATTTTACGACGATGGTGAATGCCTGGAGACGCAGTACCCATCTTTCTATGCGGGCACATGGTTTGGACGTTGGGGAAAAAATGGTTTCGAGTGCCTTATGATCCATCTCAAGCTCAAAACGACGTCCTAGTAGGTATACTGAAAACCGTTCCACTGCCCATACTATGGCGAGCGCCTCCTTTTCTGTTTGGTAGTATCTCTTTTCTGAGTCTGACAAACATTTGCTGGCATAAGAGATGATGGACGGTTCGGAGTCATCGTCAACACTTCTAAATTGCACAAGTACTGCTCCAAGTGCAACAGGTGAAGCATCTACGATTAGTCTTGTCCGCAACGAGTTGTTAAAATAGCTCAATGTACGTATATCACATATCATTTCTTTCAGAGCATCAAACGATATTTGATGCTGGTGCTTTCACTCATACTTAGTGTTAGAACGCAGCAAGCTTCGCATTGGAGCTGTCACGGTACCCAAATCTGGAAGAAAACGTCCGACATAATTTGCAAGTCCTAGAAAACTTCTCAATTCTTCAACTCTGGAGTTCTGAAGGATCTCAGCATCGTTAGTTTGTCTTCAACCGGTCTGATTCCCTCAGCCGAAAGGTGATGCCCCAAGAACTGCACCTCAGTTACAGTAAATTTGCATTTCTGATGATTCAACAAAACGTTCTTTTCCTTCAAGACGGTTAGCACCGTCTGCAACGCCAAGTCGTGCTCCTGTTTGGTTTTCCCAAAGATGAGAATATCATCAAGGTAATTCACAACATTCTCACAACCCGAAAGGATTTGTTCTAATAGCGAATTCGTTTATTATCGGGGTTAACACCAGTTCCAACCCAGTGCGAAACCGAACTTTTTGTCAGTGTGAACCTCAACCTGAGCTAGGTTTTAAAAACAAACGAGCAAACTGACGTTTGTCAGAAAAGAAGCAGACCCAAACTTGATACCCGATCCAGGTTGGAACTGAATAATAAACGAATTCTCTATAAAACTCGTTGAAATATTTCAGGAGCGCAGGATACTCCGAACATCAGTCGCTAGTAGCGGAATAGCCCTTTGTGCGTGATGAATGTTGTTATGTACCGTGATGTCGCGTCGAGTTCTACTTAATGTCTAGACGACTAAAGAAACAAGCCTCACGCAACAATGGAAGAAAACCTTCAAATGTTGGCATCATGTAGCTCTCGCGTTGAATTGCACGGTTAGCTTGGCGCATGTCCACGCACAGCCGCAATTCGCCGTTATCTTTAACTATAACGACCAATGGCGATACCCATGGACTAAACTCTGAAACAGGTTCTATGATATCCATTATTTCGAGACTGGCCAGTTTTTTTTCGACTCGACCGAGCAGTGCTATCGGCGGGCGTCGTGCGTGCTGTTTCACTGGTACTACTTGATCATCAATAGCAATTCCTAATTTTATACCTGAAATTTTCGGGAACGGGTGCTTCTCGTCCTTCCACAGTTGATTAACTTCGATTGGCTGAGTACTAGGAAGGCCTAGAACCAGAACTCCCATTTCAACTGCAGTAGTTCTTCCGAGTAACGGCAATGCTCCTCCCTGGATGATGTAGAACGTGGCCTCGCTTTCAGTTCTGCGTGAATCATCCATGATTGAGATGGTGCTTTCGAGCATTCCGCGTACCACTAAGGGGCTAACATTGTTACCATAGGGATAGAATGTTTGGTCTGAATCTCGAAAATTCTTGATGGATATTCCTTGTCGCAATAGATTCTGCCATGTGGTGCTATCGATGATGTTCTTTTGACAGCCAGAATCAATTAGCATCTGTACCGGTACACCACCAAGGTTCACCCAGATAAACTCCTCACCATCGCCGATGCTGTAAATAAAACTGTTCGTAGTCGGATTCTCTGAATGATCAACGGCTCTAACCACTCGTATTTTAGAACCTTTCCATTCCTGTGGTCCTTCCGCTCTACGATTCACCGAACGAGATGGGTTGGAAGTTTTGCACCGTTGTGCGAATGGTCCTATCTTTCCACACTTGTTGCAGTTTTGATTCTTAGCGTGGCAATTTGCATCATTACCGTAATGCCCTGTGCGTCCGCACCGATAGCATTCACCCGCAAGAAACCGCGAAAGTTGAATTTTGTTTACATCCTGACTAGTGCCTGGTCTTTGAACATCTCTGGAATCATGTCCTGCAGATGAGAACTGGCTGACTTGATATTTCAACGACCCATAAGACTGAATAATTTTGGTAAGACTTTCTACGGTGAGCCTTTCCTCGGAAAGTAACTTCTCTTTCAGTTCGGGTGGAGAGAACAAAATCATTTTATCGATGATACCAACCCCGACTTTCTTGTTCCGTTGCTCCAAAATTGCACAGTTTTGCGGTATCCATTACACGAAGAAGGAATTTTTCCAGTGGTTCTTCTGTATCTTGCTTCAACG